CTATCCCTCCTATCCCTCTTTCCTCTCCCTCCCTCCTCTCGCTGTTATCGCTTTGCTCTCTCCTCCCTCTCTTTTCTCTCTCTCCCTCTTTCTTTCTTTCTTTCCTCCATTCTGTAGCCCTTCACATTACTCCCTTCTTCCTTCCTTCCTCCCTTCATCCTTTCAATGTCTCCTCTTCTTTCTCACATCCATCTTTTCTACGTCATTATTTTCTCCTCCTTTTCTTCCTTTCTTCTTCATCCATTACTTCTTTCACCCCTTCTTCCAATCTTCTCTTCTTCTCTCTCATACTATACTCTCTCTCGTTTTCCCCTCCCTTCCCGTTGTCCTTTTTGTCCTCTCTCTCTCTCTCTCTCTCTCTCTTTCTCTCTTTCTCTCTTTCTCCAGCTTCGCTGTCTATCCTTTTTCCTCTATCTTCTCCCTCCTCTTTATTCTCTCTTCTCTCTCCCTCTCTTGCTTTGTGTGTGTGAGTGACAGACTCTAAGCGACAAATCTCTACTGCGGTCATTGCACGAGAGTTGTTTATGGGAAACACGTTTCTTTAGTTAATAACCTCATAGTCTCGCACGTAGCCGTGCACTGTGTCTGAAATTGCAATTTGTGCGAAAGCTGTGTTGTGGGATTGTTTTAATTGCCTGCAGAGCCTTGAGAATCTCCTTGTGCAAATTAGTGGGTCGTAATAATATTACCGCTGTAAATGACGTGTACTTTTGTAAGATCTTGAGTAAAAATCGGGAAAATGCTATTGAAGACTTCCTATAAAATAATTGAATGTGTATGACTTCCACACCACTTCTGAGGTTGTAGAGAACTCAGTTAATTATAAAAGCTTTCGTGATTTTTATACATCTACTCAGGAACTGCATATGTTATACGTTTGGCCAAAATAATGGAGTGTCTGTGGAGTGTTCAACTGTTCACTAGTGAAAGTTTCCTTCATGCGTTTTTGTGCTAGTCTCATGTTTCGTCAATCATTGTAAGTTCTCTGAACTTTACAATATTCTCACACATACTCAATGAGGACATGCTGTTGGGTTGAGTGTAGTCAAGAAGTTTGTTTTTCTAATTTAGTTTTTCTTTTTGCTTGAATTTTTTATTATGGAGGAGTACATTTTTTTTTCAGATTCATATAAATGTCTGTTAGAGATATCACAGCAAATTACTTTCGTACTTCTGTTATTTTATTATTTTTTCTACATCATGTTCAATTTAATCGCCATAATATGTGTTTTGCTTATATCTTTATATTCTTAATGACTAGGAAAGGTGTTAGCTTCTCTAAAGATAATATACGTACAGCGCCCTATTTGCACGTCCAGAAAACTAATTCTTCGTGAGTCGCATATTAGAGCCATTGTAAGAAAATATCCGTGACAATCTTCAGTTTATAACTAGGGTGCGGGATTTAATGAAATGTCTTGTTTTTTCTTTTCATTTTACAACAATGCTTTTTAGTACAGACAATAATTCGATGTTATGACAAAAAGAAATTACCCATTTTGTATGAGGCACTTTTCGTTGATTACGACTAAGTCTTTTTTTTTACCTTTTCCCATCATTTTAACGCATTTTTGCTGAATTAATCAATTTTAATATCATTTGAATAGTACTTGCTTCAAATAAAATTTACGTGATGCAATAAATGTTCTCCATGGAATTCTTGAGTAACCTATTTGATTTCTTCGCACAGAAATTGTAATGTCAGACGTTGTGAGGATGTAACTTAAGGAACCTGTGATTTCCATCAGCGCTGTTGTCAGTTAGGCTGATTTCTCGATAACTATAAACAGATATTTCCTGGTAAAGAACAGTACAAACTAAATGTCGGCAAGCCTGAGTTCGCTTGAATGCAAGGAATTAGCCTCGATTATATCAGTAACATATCTAACAGCTTGAGTTCTTCATCTGAATTGGTTATGAACCAACGTTTTACCTCACTTTTCTTCATTTTAGGGCATTTAGGAGCATTTTATTGGTATTTTTTGGAGATGGGTCTAGGTCATCAAAATCCGCCCTCTGTTTCTTTTCATATTTTCCTCCTGTAATTCCCTCCATAAAAGAATATGTAGCATCATTCTACTGTTTTCATATTTCCTTCGTAACCACGATCTTGTCGATCCAGGAAAGTTATGCAGTGCATATCGAAATTCGTATCGATAACAATAACAAGCTCTAACGTATCAATGAAAAATAATTATGTTTGTTTGCGCGTGCGGTGTAGGGTCTGATGCGGATGATCAGCAACTCGAGCTCCGAGTACGTGGAGCTGCACAAGGTGCTGTTCAACCCGTTCGTGCTGTACGGCGAGGGCGGCGAGGAGTCTGCGCTGCGCGGGGCGCTGGCCCCGGGGCTGCTGCGATTCGACCCGCACTTCTCCCCGCAAGTGTCGCAGCACCTCTTCGAGCGCGACACGCCCCCCTCGGGCCCCTCGGCCGCCGCGCGGCCGCCCGGCACCGCCCCGCTCAAGCCCTGCGGCCTGGACCTCGTCTCCCTCAACATCCAGCGCGGCCGCGACCACGGCCTGCCCGCCTACCCGCTGTGGCGCCGCCACTGCGGCCTCTCAGAGCCCAAGGACTTCGCCGACCTGCAGGGCCTGCTGGACGACGAGTCGCTCGCGCGCATCGCCGGCATTTACAGGTGACAAACGAGCTGCCGCTTTATTTAATTCTGCGGATCGGAGGTACAGGACACTTCAAACACACATACAATCATTTTTCGATATATCTCAATTATTTTCACTGTCTGCTAATATATATTCTAAATTTCATATTGACATTCTTGTAGCCTTTTTTTTTATACTCAGAAGCATAAATGTACCGGATTATGAAAATCAAGTTGTTTATATTAATATTATATTAATTATTTGTTTTCTTAATCTATAACATTTAGTGCCACTGTCTACAAACAAAAGAATAGGTCAAGAATGTCAATATGAAATATACAATCATTTTAATTTCATAATTACTATAACGCTTCCAATTGTACAACGCTTTGACCTACATTTAGTGTCATCTTCAGGTAAAAGATGAACACTTTAGTAAGTGTAAGTCAAAGTCTACAATAAAACAAAAATTAATATTTAAAATTGATATGTACAAATTATAGGTGTGCGTGTGTGTGTGTGTGATTGTGTGTGTGTGTATTAATCCTTGTATAGGGCACCACGTTCATTTTGGCTGAAATGAGATTATTGGTACAATAATATGGGTTTCTTGTCTTATACCTAAAGGTATACAACACTAAGTCCTACATTTGGCGGAGTTACAGTGATTTTAAAAATGCCATGTCCATTTCCAAGTACAAGTATCTTCAAACTGCTCTTCTGTAAAATGTAGTAAATGTGATATAGTGTCCTACACCTCCGACCCACAAAATAGCAGTGTTCACCCAAGGACGAGAGGGGTGTCTCTAGGAGCTTCAGTCTCCCAGAAGCAAATGATTGATATATAATAATTCAGGTTTTACTTATTTACTCTACTAACTAAAGTCGTTCAGTATATCATTTGTCTGCGTTATAAATTTTAAGTACAAGTTTACAAAATATCATTTTAAATTAAGTATAAATGAACAATTCTTTATGAGAAAACAAATTCGGCTGCAGACTATACCTGTATCACATCCCTTACAAACAGAGAAAGATAATTCCGGGTAGGCGCCTGTAAATATTAATGTTGGTTGCTAATTAATGACAGTGACTATTTCAACCATACTACGTTCTGTGTATTGGCAAAAAGCAATAATTGATTCAAACTTCAACCAATCACAGCTAACAGTAGGAAATAATGAAAATTTTCTGTCAATGTAATTCACCGTTTTCACGTCTTTTCCTTTCGTTAGTCATGCATTTTATTCTCTTTGTAGGTTCACTATTTAAGCCTAATCTTTCTAAAATATTTTGAAAGAATTCTAGATAAAGATGTTTCGGGGGCTCTAGGGCACCAATTGTGCTGAAACACGGCGGATTTCTATACTGTCTTACCGGGTCAACGTGAATCCTTCGAACATGATGCATTATGTTAAAGATAGTTAAACCTACTAATGTAATAAAACAGGATTTTTTAAAAAATGTACTTCTATCTCTATTTTTTAATAATCTCTGTTTCTGAGGACACACTAGCCAGACAGTTTCATGGTTTCATTTTTTCATTCATTTTTATTATGTCTGGTGTTATTTTTTATCTCTTTCTTGTGCTTAGCATGATATGAGTTTCGTAACAAACTGGTATGTTAAAATCACAACATCTATATTTTTCGTCTGATTTGTTAATGAAATTGATTTATTAGCGATTTTAAGGTATTTAATCGCTAAGTAGTCGTACTAAAGGGCACTCGTACGTTGTAAATTTCAGATAAAAAAATTCCTTGCCCCTCACTTCTCACCCGGTGGCAATAATAATAATAATAATAATAATAATAGTAATAATAATAATAATAATAATATTTAATCAGCCATTCTCTCTGAAATGTCACATTTTTGCGATTACATGTCATGTGGGGTGAAGATTAGGACAATACTCACATGGTCTTTGGTAGAAAGTCTGTGGCCCATGGACCCCCCATGTTTATGACAAACTACTCGAATATTTTAAAAAATATGAGAAACTCCTGTCAATTTATCTCATATGATTATGTGAGTTAGTATTTTGTTACTTAATTTACCAGCAAAGTTTACTTCTTAATCCCTAGTTTTTCAAACTTCAACTCCTATTGTAACAATTGGCTAAAAACGTAAATAATCTAAACAGTCTTCTATATCTGAATCTACATCCAAATCAAAAACAAACTTCGATATTTCATATTAATCTTACCAGCCAATTGATGGAAATAGTTTTTAAAATTCTGTACTGGGATGACATAAATAAGTGGAGTGTAGACTTTTTGTGTAGCATTCTGTAAGGAGTGAGAAGATCGAACGAGATTAACTTCCATTGTAAGAATATGATGTTGCCTAGTCATTCACTCGAATGCTGCAAAAAGCAAGTACCATTACTTTCAATGACAAGACAGAAATTGAAGTATTCAACTTGCAAGTGCATGGTCGTCTGTGTAAATTAAAGTCGGGAAATACAGAGTGCACCTCACAAGGCTAAAAATACATACAGTATATACGTTTTAAAATATGTAAGTTGTCTATGTCAGCAGACGTAATAGGTTAGTGTTATTACTAGAAATGCACAGAAAATTGTCGGTATTTCGTGCATCCACAAGCGATAGCATTTAAATCTTTGAAGAGATCAAGAAAGATAACAGGAGTCAGAAACCAATTTTCTTCACTGTGGTACTGAAACTTATTGACCATTTTGCTGTGTTTGTGAAAAATTCAAGGTGGTCCGGTTCATATTCTCCCAAATGCATTTTCTGATATTCATAAACAGTTATATTCCTAAGTCTCCATAAAAATTCATTTGAAGTTAAGCAAGTAATATATTTCTTGAGTTCACGACCACACAATTAAATATAGGAATAGTTAATGGATGATAGTCATTTAATTAAACTCCCAGTTTGCCAAAGTTTGGGAACTTTGTTCTTCCCTCCTCAAGGCTTACTACGATTGAATACCGAGTCTGTCTCAAACTTGGGTTCAGAGGGTAATGGTGTTGTGGTCCAGGGTGTTCTTGATACCATGTGTTTGTTCAATTTTGTGTAATGCTATTCAATATTCAACCTTAGTTAGCTCTGAGGAGGGAACAAAACGTTCCAAAATGTAGGCAAACTAGGAGTTTAATTAAGTGACCAACACCCATTAACTGTTCCTAGGAGCAAGAAATATACTTGTTCAAACATTTTCCCAAATAATGGAGGAAAATACTGAAACCTGGGCCCCCATTTTGTTTTTTAATATTTTGAAATCCAATTTTCCACATAATGAAATCAAAATATTTGCAGTGCATACCTTACTTAGCTAGACAAATGTTATATTCTAATTAAAATTATTGGTCAAGTAGTTTAAGAGTAATATAACATTTTCGTACAGATTGCATTTTATGGATGTATAAAAAAGGATTCCTAATGTGAGCCCCCCGCAAACATTTTAAGAAATGGGTAATACTAAATGAAGAAACTGCAAATATATTAAACTCAGTATAATGTTATAAAATACAAGTTTAACGTCTTATACATAAGAAATTGTCTTAAATGTCTTGAACATAAATGTCTATACATTCCAGTGAACCTAAAATTTCACATGTAAGCAACTTTCGCCGCCCCACATCACCCATAGTTCTGCTACATCTTTCTGAAAATTTACACTGCAAATGATGTTCCTTGCACCTTCTTCACCTGGGAGAGAAGATACTCCTGGTAGAACTTCCAATGCGGAAGAGCCAGATCGTTCGATTCCTTGCGGAAGGTGGAATCTTACTTTTTTATTTTTGTGTAACTTCAGACTTTTCCTAAATCTTTCTCTTTTAAACTTCTCTGGAATTGAATTCTGAAATTTTCACTTGACCTTTCGTCTTCCTTTCCTCTCGAACTGATATCTTTTCGAGTGCGCCCTCGCTTTCAATTAGACTCCTAAGGTATAAGGAGTCCCAAATGCCTTATGGTTTTTATTTTACAAAACGAAACATTGAGAACGCGCGCAAGAAACTTTTGGGAGGATCACATTAGGCACCTGCGTGTTTATACCTCAAATGCCAATAACATTTTTACAAGGTTAATAAAATAAATTATATTATCCTACATCAATAGCTTGTAATGTCAACTTTAAAATAATGTAATGGTTAGAAGACTTGCCGATAAAGTAGCGAAATCAGGCAACTGAAAATAAACAGTTGAAAAACACTTTGCATTTCACTGTTCACACTAATGTCCGGCTGGCCGGCAACAAGATAAAAAAAAGATACTACCGCTTGACTGGACCTCGCGTTTGCAAAAAAAATCTACTATTTTAGAACGTTTCCAATAGGCAACATCACTCTACAGAGCTGTAAATCAAGGGGCTCCCGTTAGGAACTGGGCCCGGGTTTGGGTACTTTCCTGTAAGGTTGCGAAAACGTAAGTTTATTTTTTTAAGGAGTTGCACTGCCTTTATGTACTTGAAGTATGCTTTTGTACTTGAAGCCTTTATGTACTTGCCTTTATGTACTTCCTCTTTGTGTGTTTGAAGTTCTTGCTCTTTAAACAAATACATACTAATCAAGTATACTGCTTATCGAGGCGTATTCTTGCCTCGACCTGACCTTCGCAATTGAGCATCTCTTTCCACGCTTGCCTCTGCTCATTGTAATTCTGTTCGTACGGCGTTGTGCTGCCCGTAACCGCGGTGGGTCGCAACCGTCCGACCGCACTTTGACGCGAGCGCGCGGTCGGCGCAGGTCCGTGGACGACATCGACCCGTACACGGGGATGCTGGCGGAGGTGCCGTTGCCGGGGGCCATGCTGGGCCCCACGCTCACCTGCATCATCGCGGACCAGTTCGTGCGGATGCGGCGCGGGGACCGGTACTGGTACGAGACCGGGGAGCAGCCTCAAGCCTTCTCGCCTGGTAAGTGAAGAAACGTTTCCGTTTGTTCAGGGGACGGCTTGCGGTAGTTTAGTGGCGATTTTGTTGCCTTTGACCAAGAGGTTCTAGGGCTCGAGCCCCGATGATGGCGGATTTTGGACGCCAGCTATAGAGTTGGTTGAATTCAACCAAGGACCGTAGCGATATCTCTTAACATAGATCCCGCTAACAAGTAGCGGGATGACGAATATTTTTTTAGGAAAATAGTAGAAAATTAACAGATTACGGAAAGAAAACAGGAATTTTGGAAATATTTTTCAAAATATTGATAAGCCTTTTAAAACAAGATGAATGCTGTAGGTCAACGAACTGGCCACAGATCACTCGCGGTCTTTCCTTTCTCTTCGGTACTATTCTCTCTCCCTTTACATACGTTCACTAAACTACCACATGTCGAGAGTCCATTCGGGAGCTTACTGCCTCTGTCGAATGGGGCGTTGTCTCGCTGGAGGAAAACTACGCTAGTCGACATGTCGCTCCGGTTCCCTCTTCCCTGCGGGTAAGAAGCGCCACCATCTCTTGGGATATAGCAAGCCACTACCACTAAGGATAATACTGACCTACGTGGTTGAGGCACTTGGAAACAATAAATATTGTTACTCGGCGGGGCGGAGCGGGGCAGGGCGCGGGCGGGACGGGACGCCGGACGGACGGACGAGCGAGGCGGGCGGGGCGGGGAGCGGGTGGGCGGGCCCGGGGTGGGACCGGGACGGGGGACGGACGGAGCGAGGCGGGGGCGGGGGGCGGGTGACGGGGACGGGAGCGAGGCGGGAACGGAGCGAGGCGGGACGGAGCAAGGCGCGGACGGAGCGAGGCGGGCGGGGCGGGGCGCAGGCGGGGCGAGGCGGACGGACGAGGCGGGGGCGGGAGGGGCGAGGCGGGACGGAGCGAGGCGGGGCGGGGCGGTGGCGGACGCGAGAACGAATGCGGGCAGGGCGGGGCAGGGCGGGGCCGGTGCGGGGCGGTGCGGGCGTTGGCGGTGCGTGCGGTTGGGGGCGGGGACGGGGCGGGGCGGGGCGGGGCGACGGCGGTCTGTGACGCGCGCGTGTCTCCGCTGTTGCAGAAGCAGCTGAACCGAAGGTGCGCAAGACGTCGCTTGCGCAGCTGCTGTGCGACACGAGCACGCCTTCACCTCCATCCAGCGTGGGTCTCAGCGCGCCGGGCGACTCCAACCCGCGCCGTGTGCGTGCTCGGCCGCTCCCGCGGCCCGACCTGGGCGCGTGGCGGCGCGCCCACCCCTCGGGCCCGGGCCTTCGGAGGGCGCGGCGCGCGTGACGTGGGCGCGGGCGCACGCGCACGGCCCTTCGCCGCGGCGCCGCGCCCCCCGCCCGCCCTCCGAGCCGCACCGCCCTCCACCGCGCCCGCTGAGCTCGCGGCACCGTCCGGGCCGCCCGCGTCACCTCCGAGCCGGGCGCGCCTCGTAGGCGCGTTCCGCGCTCGAGATCAAAGCTGCCCCTGTCGACCGCGGTGCGGCGCCGACGACCAACGCCCGCCACGCCACCACCTACCCGCACGGCGTCCTCTGGCAGGGGACCATCGCCGCCTCGTCCCCGGGGTATCTCTCCCTCAAAGGGGAGTTCTCCATGCCGCGCTACGTGCACGGGGACGCCCTCACCAATTTCACTATCGAGTGGTTGAATGGGGACTTTGAGTTTGTGCTGGAAGTCCAGTGGAATACTTCGGATGTAGACGCGCTGAACCTTCAAGGTTCGTACTCGAGTCCGATATATCTGGGGGCGACTAAGAAATACATGCCTCTTCAGGAGCAGCCCCTGCACAAGCTGTTTGAGGTTGGTGGGGAGTTTATATCGACTCCATCCTTGGATATAGACCCTGTCGTAAAGAGAGCTCCTATAATCTTGTTTGGTACCTACTCCGTTGATGGGACGAGTTTCTTGTGGTCAGGAAATGTGAGTGCGATTATTCCTGATGTGGTTCCGGTGACTCCTTGGTCCAAGAGTAGTTACTGGTCAGACAAAAAAGGGATAGCACCGTTTGAACATTTGCCGTGGGTTCCGAGGAGTCCGAAAGTTGAAGCTCTTCCTGCCACTGCGGGAGTTTCATCGGCTGTAGGAGTATCAGTAACAAGTGGCAACATCACTGTGGATTCGAACGGAACAACCATGAATTGGTGGGATGGAAAATTGCCTGTTGCTATACCTATGCCTGCGTTCAATAGAGTGGTCAAAGCGTCCTCAAAGCCAGATAAAGCAGATAAAGGAAAGTTCAAACCGACCTTCGCCAGTGGAATCGTTTGGGATGGTAGTCTTCAGAGGAAAGATAATGTTACTCTAACATTTCAAGGCAACTTTTCTCTTCCAATTTTCGTCCACGGGCCTGGAGCTCTTTTCTCTATTGATTGGAAAACTGGCAATTTCTCTCTCGAGATGAAACTACTGTGGAACGCAACTCTTGACGGTGTGTTCCAAGAAGGGCAAAATTACTCTTCCCCCGTATTTTTCCGCGAGTCTAAACCTTCGGATACTGCGACCGACATTATTGTTGGCATGCAGGGATCCGGGTCTGTGGAAGGGAGCGCTGAACTTCAATTCGTAGCCGCAGGTGCTGCTGATGCATCCGCTATTCCGCAAGCCCCTCTGATACTACTCGGTTCTTTCTCGCCTGACAAGACCCAATTTCTTTGGTCCGGAAACGCCACCGTTATTCTGCCTGCTCCTGCGAGCCCCGTTCAACTGCAAATGTCTGCTGCTCCTGTATCTCCTTCTGATGAGACCACCGTCAAAGTTACTGTAGGAGCAGAAGTCATTGGAGGTTCGATAGACGCCGGTATGGTAGGTTCAACGCCATCTACTGTGTGGAACGGAGACCTTCCAGTTCCGATCCGAGGGCTCGATCTTCTCGCCCGCGGCATTAACTGGAACGGGCAACTGACGTCATCATCGCTCACTGAAGCGCAGCTGGAAGGAACGTTCTTAACCGTGCTTCCTGAAAACCCAGGAGCAGCGTTTCCTAGTTCTCCATACCAGGGAAAATTCTCTCTACAGTTGAGTCTGCTCTGGAATGTATCTGTGGACGGTTTACTTCCGCCGGATGTTCCCGTTTATTCACCTTTATACTTCCGCGGAGCTGCGGCGTCTGATGACGCCGAAGCCTGGTTTGCAGTGGATAAATATTCATCTCTCCCTCGAGCAGCTTCTGCCCAGAATTCGGCATCCTTTTTGACAGTGCCCATCATTCTTCAGGGAGCATATTCCGCTGATCTTACTACTTTCTGGTGGAGCGGGCGAGTCCTGCTTGTTTTCCCCAGTGTTTCTCCCACGAAAATGCAGCAATTAACCCTCACTAAATCCCGTATGCCACTCATTTCCAAACCGCCGCTAGGAAGCTCATTCATGGTGTTGCCAACCGATCAAAATTCGCTCACCGTCGCTGGCCCACCTGCTTTTCGTCCGTTACGCTTAGGCGCCTTTGTGAGTTCCGGCAGCATCACCACTTCCGCCGGAACCGCCTGGTCAGGGAAACTTCCTTTGCAACTGTCGCTTCCCCTCTTCGATTCGAGAGTCGATCCCGACGGCGCTGCGCCAGATGTGAGCGGAACTCCACCTACCTACGCTCATGGCATTCTTTGGGAAGGAACGTTAACCTCAACGTCGGGCAATCACATGACCTTCAGTGGAGACTTTTCAATGCCACATTATGTTCACGGAGGAAACCTTGCAAACTTTTCAATTGATTGGATAAATGGGCGATTCAGTTTTGATCTGCAAGTCCTTTGGAATTCTTCAGATATTGATAATTTTAGTATTCAAGGAATGTACTCTAGCCCTGTGTTTATTGGTGCTCGGCAAAGGTACTCGCATCTGCAGGATGTTCCCGCAGGATCTTTGTCAGATGCGAGCAGCGCTATTAAGAGGTCACCTTCTATCACTCCCACTCCCGAGTTAAAGAGAGCTCCTATAACTCTTCTGGGCTCGTACTCTGCTGATGGCATGAGTTTCATCTGGTCGGGAAATGTTTCGGTATTGATACCTGACGTTATTCCTGTTCCTACATGGACTGGAAATGCTCTCTGGTCAGAAATCAATGGAGCTTACCCACCAGGACAGCTTTCGTCCAGTCTGAGGGCCACAGATCAATTAGCAATACCTTCAGCGTCTTCCGCTTTAGGAGTGTCTGTGACGAATGCCAATGTGTCACTTCTAACAAATGGAAGTTATGTGTCCTGGTGGAATGGAACTTTACCTCTATCTATAACAATTCCTACAATGAAGAACGAATTCACGTACTCAACGAAATCTGACAAGTATTCTAAAGTAAAACCAAAACCAAAACCATCATACGCGGCCAAACTCATATGGAACGCAACATTACAAAGGGAAGATATCACAAAATTACGTCTTACTGGCAACTTCTCTGTACCTACTTTTATTAACGGTCCAGGTGCACTTTTTACCATCGATTGGAAAACAGGAAATTTCTCCATTGATTTTAAACTACGCTGGAACACTACCCTTGATGACGTATTTCAAAAAGGTAAAAACTATTATTCACCTGTTTTCGTCCGTGCCTCCAAACCTTTTGACACTATTAGCGATATAATTACTGACATACAGTGGCCGAAGTCAATGAAGAACAGCCCTGATCCTTATTTCGAAGCAGCTTCATCAAGAAACACATCTGCCATTGGGCGAGCTCCAATAATCCTGCACGGGACCTTTTCGCCAGACCAGACAAAGTTCCTTTGGTACGGCAACGCGACCATCATTCTCCCTAAGCCACCTGGCACAGTTTTCCTCGAAATGGCGGCAGTCCCGTCACCCGCAACCGGACCACCCGGCACGGCGATGCGCAGAAGAGTAACGATAGGTGCGGAGGTTCTCGACGGTGATCTGGCGGCAGGGCCGTCTGGGGCTTCCCCATCACGACTGTGGAGCGGCGAAATACCCGTGCCCATCCGGAGGCCGGAACTACTCGCTCGGGGTGTCACGTGGAAGGGCGAGTTCTCGCAGACTTCGCTGACCGACGTCCAACTCACCGGGACATTCTCTGCTTTGTGGACCAGCGCCGCATCCTCTGCCTACCCCTTCTCCGTTTACGACGGCAAGTTTTCCGCCAAACTGGCTCTTTTGTGGAACGTGTCTGTGGCCAGCCTCCTTCCGGCCGGCGCGACCGTCTACTCCCCGGTCTACCTCCGCGGCACCACTGTTCCCAACATCACCGGCGAGTGGTTGGAAGAAGTAGAGAACAACCCTCAGACAACGGCAGCGGAGCTCGCCCAACCCGAAGCGATTCTAGCCGACCTACGAGTTCCCGTCATCCTGCAAGGAACGTACTCCCCCGATTTGACGACTTTCTGGTGGACCGGACGCGTGATTTTGGCCTTCCCGCAACCCACGCCGGCGACCGTTGCCCTTGAAGAGATCTCCGCGGCCACCGGCGCTTCCGTCGGGGCGACGGTGACCGCGGGGGAGGTGACGGCGGCGGACGGCTCGCAGCTGTGGGACGGCGCGCTCCCGCTGGTGCTGCCCGGTGCGCTGGGGACGGTGGTGTGGAACGGCGCCTTGACGCCGTCCGTGGGGGGCACGGTAGAGCTGCGGGGCGCGTACTTCGGGCGCGGCGGAAGCGGGGAGTTCGCCTTGGTGCTGTCGCCGCTGTGGAGCACGCCGCTTGCCGGGCACGTGGTGGCCGGAAGGAACTACACGTCCCCGCTGTTTCTGAGGGAGCCCGCCGACCCCGCCCCGCGACAGGCGGCGGGCGCCGTCTCCGGGGGCAAGGTGCCCATCATCCTGCAAGGCAGCTTCGCGCCCGACAAGTCCACTTTCTCGTGGTCGGGCAATGTCATCATCGCGTTCCCGTAGGTGGCCTTCGCTCTCTTTCCTGTCACGGACAGTGTTGATAAGGACTAAGTCTTAACGGTATCCAACTTTGCAGCTAATTTTGTGTTTCTAACTTTTAGTTTTATCCGTACGTGAAACGTGACGGGCGATGTCATAAAAGTAACAGGTTCATCGTATAATATATTTTCTGAAGAAAATGTATGAATATTTCACAACTTAGGAACTGTGAATTTTAGTATAAGAACATTTCTCTTGCCATTTTTAATTCAAGAATTATCGATGCTTATCGTAATATGATATTTTATTAAAATATGCAGTTTATTTTTACGGTACATCACGCTCATAGCAATTGTTTTAAATGTTTAACTAAGAAATATCTTAAGAATATGTGGTTACGATAACTAGAGAAGCCAATGCTTTCATGCATTGACGGCAGACTGAAAATGTGTGCTAAATAAATTATTGGTAAGAATAAGTCAGTCTCTCATCTACATTAGGAGGTAGTCATTTATTTTGTTCAATTTCTGAACATATTTTATAGAAATTGTATTTGTTTATCAATAAAATACAATAAATTTGTCATATTTTCATTATTAATAAGTCCACCAAATTAATATACTACAAACATTTACCAAACCCGTCAAATATTTATTCATACACACTAGTTTGAAATTATTTGTCGTCAAAATAATTTCTTGATAATGTATACAAACTGATGTACAGAAGTACGAATATGTTGACGGCCATTGTATTACAAAGTGAACATTTATATTATTCTAAAATATTACATACATTATTATAATGAGGGAAATAGATTTGTTTACTCTTCCAAGAAATACCATATAAATATTTTCGGAAATGTTTAAATATTCAGTTTTCTCTCGGGAACTAAATTGTCCGAAAAGCTTATACCAAAAACACTACATCTTTACGGAGCATTCTTGGCATGATCATTTCTCTTTCAGGTCCAAGGTTATCCTCTGAAACTGGAAAGACTAGATTCCCCTGGGAGTTATATAAACGCGATGGAAGACGAACAAATCTCCGACCTGCAAGCAAACTATTTCCTCTTTCGTAATAGTTTACGTAACTGCAATTCTAAATTCTATTTACTACGAGCTACGTTATTTATTCAAATTGGAAAGGTCAAACGCTTCAATTAAAACTTCCTATTAACTGTTATAAATATTAATATTGAACACATATTTCAGTGCATTTTTACATTATTGCTTCAATAAAAAATATATTATCGTTTTAATCTCAGAAAAATTTAAAAACTCGTTCTTTGAAAAAAGCTACGCCGCACTCCCAGATGCTACATTGTAATTCGATAGTAATATTGCATCTAATCAAGTAGCTAGCACAACAGGTTTTTATATATTTATTGGTTTATAACCATCTGCGAGGCGTCTAGGGGAGTCGCAGCTTACAGTGGCGAAGCTTCTACAAACGTTTTGAAAACTTTGTATAATTGACATTACGTACTACGTTTGCTTTCTAATTATTACATACACAAGCTTTTACTGATCATTTGACATTTCAATCAGAACTGATGTTCCGAAAAACGAAGGTTAAGTGTTTTACCCCGAGCTCTACCGGCTGAAAACATTCTCGCGATCTTCCTCCGCCCGTACGGGGCTGACCAGAGCCAAAAGCGCGTTCGGAGGGTAACTCCCCGCCCCCTGCACGTCGCGCAGCTCCACACGCGTCAACTCGGCACTCTGTCCTTCCGCGGGGCTCGCCTCCCCGGCCGGGACGTTCGCTGCGTGCATCGCGGGGGGCAGGGCGTCGACCGCGACGTCGTCGATGACGTCGTCGATGACGTTGTCGGCGTCGAGGGCGCCGAGAGCGTCGACGGCGTCGGAGAGGAGGCCCGCTGCGGCGGCGCCCGGCGGCAGCTCGAGGTAGTCGCGCGAAGCCCACGCGTCGTCCGACGGCGGCTTGGAAGAGGCCGGCGACAGCGTGGTGAGCAGCGGCTTCCCGTCCTTGCCCAGGCTCAGGTAGCGCTTCAGCTCGTCCGAGATCATGCCCGGGTGCGGCGGCGCGTTCTGCGGCACCGCCGGCTCGCCCGTGTCGTGCGGCAGCATCCCGCGGCCCATGGTCGCCTTCTGCGGAAACACGCGCGCGCGTTAGGCTTCACGAGAGATCCTTGACAACGAATGCAAATACCCGCAGTGACTGACAGGCTCAGAGGTTTGCTACAAACCTGACAATTTCTCTACATTTATATATCTATCTTCTATTTCTTCATATATATCTTCTTCATATATATCTTCTATTTTGCTTATAAGACCTTCGGTGTTAGGCTGAAGTTTGTTTTGATCTTTCTGGCTGTTTGATTTTTTTACTGATACAAATCAGATAATGGTTAATGAGAATGTTGTCCACAAACGGAAGTACTTTGATTATAATATGAAGTTTTATCTTTGTTTCATCAGCTGAATTAACAAATGAAATAGTAAAAATGAAACTTTTTCTCAGAAAGCACAGAGTGGCACAGTAGTATAAATATCTTATTTTCGTTGCCTCGTCGACATCCATAACGTTCACTGATAGTTATAGTTCGATAATTAAATCAGAAATAAAAACAAAAAGGAACACCAGAATTTACATAGTACCCCAATAATATTCAGAGATTTTGAAAATATACAATTTCCATTTTTTCGGCAATTGAATATCAAATCTTTAGTCGAACATATTAGTTATGTTTAGTCATCCAGTTCGACTAGTGGTTCTAGAGCGTCCCACTTAATTTGCTTTAATACGGTCTGCAATATGTTTTAATTAATTATACATATAATGCAGGGTAGACACAGAGCATAAGTAAACCAAACAGCTGCGTGGGGCATTTTGAAAACAAATATGTATGTTGAAAAATATTTTTTGAATGATCATTATTATGCAATTATAAAATAAATGGCTTAAAAATAAATGCACTCACTTCTTCAGATTCTTTAAGATATTCATTGCTTCTTAAATGAAGTACAAAGAATAAACATAATAAACTCTGTAATTTATTTTACAAATTGTTGTTCGTTAATAATTTGAAACTGTTCCTTTCGTTGTAAAGAGCTATTTTAATAATAACCCGCATTTTTGTTGGACAGTTGGAAAACAAGATTTGAATAAGAATACATTTCTTCAGGTAGTAAATAAATTTCACGTAGGTTTCTATACATGTATTGTAGGTCTCTGAACAAGTTGTACCACTAATGTATTTTCAATATTTGTTTTGAAGGGAAATTATAAAACTTTTTTGGGATGGTTAAGTGAGGTTTATCATTACGTTGGCTTGATCTCTGAACATAGTGAGCAAAACATCTGTGAGTGAAACAAAAAAATTATCAACATTGTAAAAATTATATTTCATCGTGTGTGTATGTATGTATGTGTGTGTGAGACAGAAAAAGAGAAGCGGGGAGAGAGGGAGAGAGGCAGAGAGGTAGAGAGGCAGAGAGGGAGAGAGGGAGGGAGGGAGAGAGGGAGAGAGAATAGAGATTCCAAAGCTCAAGAAAACGTGTCCAGTTTGTACTTCTCCCCCCTACGTTGCACACAGTATTTACTGTTTTGTGACCAAAATAATTTAAATAAAAACCAAATTACATTAAAAATGCGTTACTCCGGCGCTTACCTCGGAGGTGCAGCGGTGCTGCAGGCAGAAGTAGTCGGTGCCTTGGTCGTTGTGGCACCACGTGCCATCGGGGAAGTGCGCGTCCACGCCCATGTCGTTGAGGTCGAGGCGCGGCGTGTAGAAGAGGCCCGTGTCCTTGCGCTTGCAGAACACCGAGCACGCCACCCACGGACGCCCTGCGCACCATGGAAGGCCATTACGGAATTACGTAACGTCGATTTGGATTGTTTTCAATACCAACTCTCCCCCTTGTAGAGCTTAAACAAGCTAAAGAAGGTTCCGAAAGCAAAATTTTCAAGAGTAGCGTTTTTCAATACGATCTCCATAACGTAACGGTAGGCAACTCTGCACAGCACACCCGTCAGAAGGTTTGCCTAAACACTTCCCTTGACAGGAGTTTCAGTATTGCCGATTTCTTCCAGGAAGGAAAGCCTAGGGTGACGAACTGTCACTTCAGTTAATTTTTGAGGATTTACTGTAGAATGAACTCGTAAGTAATATCATGAAAGAAGTTGTAGATCGCTAACACAGACTGTTTAAAATCCGTTTCTGCTTGTACTGCTGTCGACTCATATCATTTGCATACCGCTGCAGCTCGCCGAAAAGCGTTAGACAAAAATAATTAACAAAATGCAAGAAATTGATTATCATGACACCAGAAAGGTATCGAGACAAAGAACAGAATTGGACATATAAATTGTACTCAATATTAATCACATAGCATATTATTAGAAGAATTGCGCTATTTATAATAACGAATATTGTATAATTTGAATTTTAAAATGTCACATTAATAAAACAAAAAACTACTAATTTAGATCAACATCAATCATTTTTAAATAATGTTTTTATGTGTAAACAATGTAAAAAAGTTGCAACATTTTTTATTTAAAATTTTATAGTAAAATATCAACATTAAATAAATGGAAACTCTTCTCATTAGAAATACGATTTTATTCCGCAAATTTCGCAATTTCAATTTTTACACATCTCTCGTTTTTTCAATAACTGTTATGATCACATTATAATATTATGCTTACAAAGATTGTGTTCAGACTGTATACAGAATTGTTTAATTTAAATTCAAAATTGAAAATCAAATGATGCATTATCTTCGATGGATTGAAAATGTCATCAAAATTATTTACTTTGTACGAGAAAAATGAAAGTTAAAGGGCTAAGTCGTGATCTCATTTTTCGGAATGTCCAATCATATAATTCAGACATTTTGTTGTATACATGCTACGATCAGGTATAGAGATATTACTCTAAGAAGGGACCGCTTTGGCAACCACTTCTTGGCTAGTGCTGGCAACATCTCTGCAGATTTTTCCCACGAGCTCAATTCGTCAATGCGTTCGTATGCAGATGGCTCACTTGCAAAAGGATCCGGCACAACTTCCTACAAAGCCATCAACCGACAAGATTTTCATTTGTTTTCCGACCTCTCAAATTGGTCCCTTCTTAGAGCAATTTCTCTATACCCTCCACCTCTCAGTCATTAAAAACCTAAGACCCCATTACACGATGTAACAGATTCTCTCGCACCATGCCTTTTAGTTCGTACCTTCCTCGTGCGGCGCCTGCAGACCAGCGCCCCCAGCGTCCAGCTCGGGAAGCAGCTTGGCAAACTGTGCGCATGCGCTGCCGGCGTACTCCACAGCCGACTTCCTTTTCTTCTTCTTGCACAGCTGAAACGTCAACACGCTCAGCTGTTGCTCTCGCCAACTACGACCGACCGCCCACTCTCTTGGGCCCACCCGTTTCGGCTCCCGTTCTTCAGGGGAGGGTTATCAATTCATAAGTATACTTAGCACGTGTTTAGGCCCAACACTGAGAGAGTCTCCGATTTTTTTCAACAAAATTGCATATAGTTCGTAATTATGTAAAAATATTTATTGACTATTTAATTAACAATATGCAAACATGATACTCAAATTCGTATTTAAAAACAAAAATGTCTTTATTTAAATTGTGGCACAAAAATGTAAACAAACGTTATTTTAAAATAGATTAATATGTATATATTTATTTTTTATTTTAATGAAGTATAATAATAAAATAATAAAATATTTCAATTAAGTGGTAATAATTTCGCTTTCATTTTGATTTTGGTTATATTTTTTATGTATTTCAATATTATTACGGGGATACTTAGTTTGCTTTTGCTTACGGTCCTATACAATATTAATCCGACCCCACCGTCACCACACCAACCCAGCCTACGTACTTGCTCATTCCGTCACTAAAGGATTAGCGATCACAACCATCACAGTAGTCACTAGTCATTGCATTGGAAAAGTAAATTATGTCCTTTTTTTAATTTTGGGATGATATAAAACATACAATGAAATTAGTAATTCATTTTATTGATTAGCTATCTAGTTTATAACTAAACTCACGTACCATATAATTAAGTTGATTTTTAAATAGAAAACGCGTGTGGTTTCTATTTCCCATCTACATGAAACAGCTGAGTCTTATCATATCACTACGTCACAAATGAAACTTCCTTAACCAAATTCCTTGGCAATCACTCACTTTTCTGCATATCCTCTATAAAGTATACTTTCACACTGAATCCTCACATTTGCCGGCTCTTGAAGACAGACTAAGCGGAAATCTGGTGGGGAATTCACAGCTAAAAAACTGTTTAATAAACACTGGCTGGCGGCAAGTCTCTGTTGCTTTTAAACAAATGTACGTTTACAGTAATGATATGTCTTTTTACACTTCATTCACAATGTTTCCATTTTCAGAATGAACAAGTGGTAGAGTGTTTCGTGAGACTGTTGAACTTAAGATACAGCGTTGCCTTGTTTACTAGAACATACATGGCATATTTCTATTTTTACGATGAATCATAGCAGTACAATGACCTTTCCAATGCAATACACATTTCACGTATAGTAAAATTACTGCCACCAACGCAAAAATAGACGAAATTATCATTTGAAGTCAACAATAAAAGTAATGACATTTCTTTAACAGGTACACATTTTCGCCCATTCGTAGAATCATGAAATAAGTCAACCGTTATTCAACAACGGTAGGCTTTAGTTTTCATAAAGTTTTCAAAACCACAAAAAATTGTTAGAATGATTACTCCATCACTACATCATTGTACCAATATTAATTAGGCGAGTGGGATTCAGGAATTTACTATGTGAACATACAGAACTTCTATCATGCTTAGTATTGCTCCATTTCAAATGTTTGATTAAATCATTCGGTAAGTCATCAAATTTAAACTCGCGCAACTCGGTGTATGTACTTATCTGTTAAGTAGGGTCTTAATACAGAAGTATACAGATGTTGCTGCTCCTACAAAGCACATACTTTCTTTCTACAGAAGAAAAATAAGAAACTGCGTTAAAATCCGGTCTTCAGTGAAAACTCTGCCTTATCGACGAGTGTGGGGCATACCTGACTACCCGTGGTTTTCCTAAGTCCTTTTCCTAAGTTCCTTCCGTTTTCCTCCTTAGTATAAGGATTGATTAGTACGTTTACCCTGGTCTGCTTAGAATTATATTCATGAATTATAAATTATATCGCTGATTTCACATTCACAATTTCGATGTTCCTGTCATGTTCACCTGCGCTTTCTTTTGTAACGAAAAATGGCTGGGGATTATTAGCTGGGATAAGGGAATAGGGACCGCGAGATGCAGTCGGGCTACGCCTTCTCTGCTACCGAAAATGGCTGGATGTTATTAGTTGGGTTGAGGGAAAAGGAGCCGCGGTATGCAGTCGGGATACGCCTTCTCTGGTAATGAAAAATGGCTGGGAATTTTTAGCTGGGGTGAGGGAAAAGGGACCGCGGGATGCAGTCGGGATACGCCTTTTCTGGTAACGAAAATTGTTGGGGATGAAATGGGGTGAGGGGAAAGGGACCGCGGGATGCAGTCGGACGGCTCCCCGCGCGAGTGAAGCGAGGTGGGGGAGGGACGGGGGGCTCACCTTGTCGTCGCTGCACAGCGCCACGTCGACGGGGCTGCCGTCGCAGCCGCGCGCGTTGTGCGCCGGCGGCGGGTTGTCGCAGGCGCGGCGCCGCGCCTGGTAGCCGCGCGACTTCACCAGGCAGCCCGACGCGCACGCCTCCTCCTTCCAGGGCCCCCAGCCGCCCGCCACCTCCTTGGCCGGGCTCTTGGGCTTCCCCGCCACGCACTGCCCGCCCTGGCACAGCTGAGCGCGGACACGGTGCACACATCTCACTACTATATTGCGACTCATGCAACCCTGCCCCTGGCAGGTATCTGCTGTTGACGGTTTCAACCAACCTGCAGCTGGAACGTCACCATAGTGACGAATTTGGTGACTATGGTGACATTCAAGCCTGTGATTAGATGAAACTGTCAACAGCTGATACTTGCTAGGGGCAGAGTTGCGAAAATCGCAGTATAGGGATGCGACATCGGCAACAAACCATTGATGTCGCCAAACATCGATGTTCAAAATGAAAACATAGATGTTAATAATACATGTTTTTTAAACATCGACTTTGTTTTCGAACAACAATATGAGAAAAGACGAAGGAAACACCATGGCATCTGGATCATCTCGGGCGAGGGATTATGTTCTGCTCGATGAAGAAGGTAATTCAGCGTTCGTTTGATTCGAGCACACAGTGGTACTATTAGTTATTATTTCATATTTCAACTTCGATTGTGCAAATTTGTGATTGTGGGAGTTTGTCATTCACGAACTAATAATCGAAAACGTTCAAACAGCAATGTTCAAATCATCAAGCTAGATGTTCAAGCTCAAAACATCAATGTTCAAAAAACTTCGGCTTTAACTCATTGTTGTTTAAAATATGGAATTTTTTATGCAAACATATTTTTATACGGCTCGGAATAGGCTTGCACAGCAGTCGCAGAGAATTTATTCATTGATATATCTGGACTTAACCTCTATGGTCATCAGTCCCGTTAGTATAGTGCAAGTATTATCTCTGGAGGCGGATTCGATGCGGGCATTCCCCCATTGGGCATCGCCACAGCAGAGACAAGCTGGAAAGTCCCAAATGATCTCACGACGTGTGTAGTAGAGTAATGCACACGTCGTAGTAGCTGTGTATAAGCAATCAATTAGTGTTTAAATATTCCCTTGTTCCTTAAGTGTCGACTACGCGCATTCAGTCCCAAATAAGAAATGAAAGTGTAATGATCTTAATAATCGCATTTTTCACAAATCAGTCATTTTTTTAATAGGCCAGGCTTATGGGAAATAACTAATTTTTAACTTTATGGCAGATATCGAACATTTTTAGAGCGGTTTTAAAATTTGAAAACCTTACTATTTCTATCTTTCTCTTTTCTATTGTTCAATACAAGCTCTGACCTGCCATCCGCATATTTCAGTATTGCCAGAGTTTTTCTAGAGAATGTAGGATGAGCCATATGGTAATGGAGAATCAGTCCATAGCCTAGCTTTAAAAATTGGAGTGAGGATATGAGAAGGAAGGAAAGATCGCGTGTGGTACTGATCCATTGTTCAAGATATTGCTCTGACAGTTATCTGAGGTGTTCGGACCCATCAGACTGTTGCCCTCTAGAATTCCCTGGACGGCCTCGGCTCGACGTTCGTCACGATCCCTCGTTAAAAGTATTTTTGTTCGAGCCTTACTGAGAGAACGGAATGTGTGCAATGGTCCCCATTAGTAAGAAGGGAGTCGGATCGTGCACTGCTCTCTCGCATGACATTAATGCCGAGGTCACAGCAAAGAATACAGCTGCAGCACGACGGCGCTCGTGGTTGGTCCCACACAACTACATTCAAGCAGGAGGTATCGTAAGGTCAGGCTCTTAATACTTTCATTTTTAGACAGAGCATTTTTTACTTTATCGGTTGGAACTTCAAATGCGTTGGCTATTGGATTCCATTATAACCGTGATTTGTTTATAAGACGCTGCAGACGAGTAAATACGTTGCATGAATTGAAATCTGGGCGCAGAATTTCACGTTTTCGTACATTTATCCCCAATAGGTGTGATTGCGTCATTCTTAATGCCCTTGTATAAGCAAACTGCTTATTTTAACTTTCCTGTAATACGATTTTTGTAAAATATAAATTCATGTATTATAAACACATTAATCATATTTTCACTGAAAACATTTTAAAGTGTATGAAACTAAAGGTAGCAAAAATTCCTGTTTTTACGAAACGCGTGACCAAGACAGTGCTATTCTATCGTTCACGATTTTTTATACAAAAGATACTGTTTTTCAAAACATGAATGAAAAGGCCGAAGTTAAATTAGCATTAATAATTTCAAATGTTCATCTAAGCTTTTGAATCTTTGAGAGTATTAACGCACATTTGAACACATAATTCATATTATCTCACACAATAGGGCGCACCTTTGCCCACATAATTCAAATAACGAATGGACACCGGGGCCTCAGAGATGATAGTTCCATACCTTGCCTGGCCCGCACGTTGTGCCCTCCAGGGCTGGCCCTGCGTAGTAGAAGGTCGGGCGGTGTGGCGAGCGGCACTTGAGGCTGTAACAGATACCCTGCAACACAAGCACACGATTCATTTGGGAACATTTCCGTGGCTTCTCGAAGCTGTGCGACTATCAAGAAAAAGGCAGTTACCTTCAAGTGTACATAACACGATGAATGTCGAATTACAACGACTAAAGGGAGCCAATGGGATACGAAACCTATTTTACAAAATTGTTGGTTAACATGAAGTAATTTGGTAGAATGAATGTTATACCAATGGCTCAAAAATGTATTTCTTGTATAATTCTTATCATTTACTTGTGAAGAAATGTCTATCAAGAATTATGATCAAAATAAAAGATGAATGAAATCTTGATATGGTTCAGTTCTTTATCTTTAATTACAATTGATTTAAACTGCGAACCGCGACTGAAAGAGTTTGCCTTTCTGCAATCAAGAACTATAGCAGTATGTATAACGATATTATGATAAGTATATGTATTGTGAGTAAACATATAAGAATTTGAATTATCGGTGGACGAATGAATGATGGATGAATGAACAAATGGAATCATTGGGTTGAACGATGAATGGCGGACAATGAGTGACGAATTTATGAACGGTAACGAACGAACAATCAATGAATGAATGAAAAAAGGGAAGAGGAACGACGGATCGACAGACTGGTATGCTGGCTGGGGGGGTGGTTGTCTGGATCACAAATGATGAGGAATGTGGATGGATGGATTGGATGGATGGATGAACGAAGAACAATGAATGATGCGATGACGGATAACTTTAAAATGATGAATGATGAATGAATGATATGGATGGATGGATGGATGGATGAACGACGATGAATAAATGAATGATGGAAGGAAGAACGACGAACGAAAACTGGCATGACGGATGGACGCTGCTGCTGGTGGCTGGTTGGTAAACATGAACGACGGAAAGGAAGGAGGGGAATGTACTGTAGCTGGGCGAGGTGTCGGCGAGGTGAGCAGCACGCACGAGAGGTGTCGGGTTGAAGGGCGCGGCGTCGCGTCGCGCAGTAGACTCGCCTGGGCGCTTTTTGGGGGGGGGGGCGGCGGGGCCCCCCCCCACGCCTGGCGGCTCTCAGGAAGCGGCCGTGGTCGCGCTCATTGGGCGGGCGGCGGCCGCGTCGCGCAGGCCCTGAACTTTGTGCGCACGCGCAAACACAACAATCGCCCACCGGGGCTATTGCGGACCCCGGTTGGTAGGGTCCGCGGGCCGGAGTTTGTGTTGTCTGGGCTATCCGGGAGAGCGCGTCATGACAGGGCGCTCATCGGATAGCATAGGGCAATACTGCGCCTGTCCAGTGGTTGATCTCGTTTTTGGGCGCGTCAACTGTAGAGTCATACTTCCCATGTGTGTTTGTTTTATTGCCGTGACGTTGAGGGATCTTCCCTCGCTGGATCGGAGTACTATTGCCTTGTGGGCTTTTCACCAGATATCTACACTTTGCAGGACGTCCACCCACGGCACAAGTTCTAAGCTCCGACACGTTTTGGTGTGTGTGTGCGTGTCTAAGGAGCTGACATAAGCAATGAACTTACAGCTAACCAAGATAGGACCGCCATATTATCTCACCTCAATAATATCCATCTACCTACATAGAACGTTTTCAGTCTCGTAAAACAGTCTTTCATTCAATCGCGACATAAGTTGCAAGCTTGCCACGGTTTCACCACTATTCCCTCACTTTTATAATCTGAGTTTCTGAACTTCCAATTAGCACATTCCAAGGCCAATTGGGGATACAGCATTGTCCTAGCCGCAGAACTTCTTCTCGCTCGTCTGGTCTTATAGGACAGTTGGGCTGCATATTAAATTAACTTTTTCTACAAAAGCTATCAAATATTATTCTTTTAGACCCTATACCCTTCCTGCCGCTGCAATAATAAATGGGCCATTACGCTTAATTGGTAACTCATTGTAGTCATCATAGTAAGATCAAGCAATAGATAACAACTAACCCCATCATTATCGTATCGCCTCCCATTCACCAGCTAGCTCTACAAACCATCATTAGACACTCCTCCTATATTCTGTCGTTTGATCTCCGCAGCAGAAACACACCTTAACAACGCTTCCATAGTCCAAAACAGTTTCTTAGTTATCATAGCTTCTTGGTTGTCACAAACTCACAGCTCCAAGGAGATGCATTGGTCTCCATACAACACCCACTATACGTAACTTTCACCGTGTCTATCTCTCTTACCTCAATTCTCTTCTCAAACTTCGATTCCGGAACTCTACCAGACTAGATTAATGAGATTTTTCAGAGGTGTCTGCAAATATTTTCCTCATCCAATATAGTATGTAGTTTTATTTGGGTATTGGAATGTGCGCTTTAAACATATGTTAGTGCTTAAATAGCATGCTATCTATTGATGCTCTTAAAAATGAAAATTAAAAGTTAGGAGAGTATTAGAGTGCTAGAAGAAGCGAGAGGAAAGGAATATCACGCACAGTCCGTCGCCAGGTTGTTACGGTACTATTCCGACATTCGCCTGGTGTTGATCGGAAAAATAACGGAAAACCACCGACCAGAGCAGCCGACTGCTACGATTCTCCTCAAGCAGTGGCTGAATTCGACAAGCTATCTAGCTAGTGTCAAAAATCCTACCACATCAGTTGAACCCTGGGACCACTCCCGGTCAAAGACACTCCAGAGACAGCAATTAATGCGCCGAGCCAACTCAGCCGATAGTAGTCAGTTCTGAAATTTATGTTTGTCCAACTGTCAGTGAATAACGATGTTAACATCATTTCCTCTAAAAAAGCAAAGAACCCATCCATTTAATTGAAATACATACTATAAGTAATATGGACTTAATAAAATTACACTTTAGAATCGAAAGTATTTTAATTCGGAAATCGTTTAAAAGTACTTAAAATTCCGATAACTGCGTCACGAGCGAGACTGATGGGGAGTCAGGAAAACATGTCCTCACCTCCCGAATTTTCAAGTACATCCAATAGTTTTATTTTAATGACTAGGGGGCGGGTTATAATGAAATACCTTTTTTCACTTCGGAACAATGCCGATTAGTATAGAAATTCATTTTGCGTTATGACAAAACAAAACGACGCATTTTTATGTCATTTGATGCACGTTTCGTCGATTTCGACCAATAGGTCATTTTCTTAAATTTTTACGTAATTTTGAATGCATTTTCTCTCAATTCATTGACTTTATACCACTCTAATCGTACGTGCATCAAACAATATTTTTACGGTGGAAGAAATGTTCACCACAGAATTGTTGAGTAGTCTATTCAATTTCTTCGCTCATATATGTAATGTCAGCCTTTATGAGTACAATGTAATCTAAGGTACTGTGTAATCTACGCCTATCGGCGCCATTGCCAGTTTGGCCGATTTTCCAATAAATAATAGAAGAGATTTTCTTTTAAAGAAGAGTCCAAACCAAATGTTTACAAGCAGAGATCACTTGAACAAAAGGAAGAAACCTCGATTACGTCGGTAACATACCCAACGGCTTGAGTTATTCACCTGAAGTGGTTTTGTTCAAATTTTGTACGTAATTTTTCTTTGTTTTTATGGCATTTCAAATCATTTTCAGAGCATTTAATTGATCATTTTTGGCAAGGTTTTAGGTCTTCAAAATCCGCCTCTATTAATAATATATCAACTGAGATAACGTATGGGAAAAAAAATTATTACTGCATTTTCTCTGACATTTTCTCTCAACATTTTCTTTCTTGAGCCGTGAGGTTGGAGTCTTACCGGTGAGGATTTTGGCAACAAGCTGTGTCAAATTAGGTCACTTTCCGGAAAACTCTAGCGACCGCCTGCTCTGAACCGCAATTTTCTGTGGTTTAGCCGATGATTACCAAGCATAATAAGAAAGAACTCCAGAAAACGCCAGAAGGACTTCACGCGAATTTCCTTTCCTCATTCTTCACCTCTTCTGTCCCTTTACAACCTCGCTATTACATGCACCGAACTATGACACGTATCGGGAGACCAGTTTGAGGCTTACAAATTGCACCTGTTGGTCTGCTACCTCGCTGAGTGCAGATCACCTGGAGAGGGCAAGTCGGGGGACGCGCGCAAAATGGCGTATATGTCGGCGCCGAATCTCACGAGGTCGATCACAGAACTCACGTGGGATATATACCACTTTCAAGTATACAACAGAATATAATCTGCACTACACAAACGGAACTAATGGCCATTGCAGTTGAGCGCCCCGAAGCATAAAATATTTAAAGATCTAACAAAAAAAATCTTGAAATCTTGATTTCTGGGTATCTTATATTTAAAAATGTTTAATCAAGATCTTAAAAAAGTATGTCATTTTTAATTTTAGATGAAAACATTTTAATAAACGTACACATATCTCAAGAAGCGTGTCAATAACACGCGACACGTCGTATATGCAAAATGCAAAGAGTTTATTGACGTATATCTTATTTCAGGTCAAAAAATATACTTGTGTTTTATTGTTCAATAATGATATCATTTCATATTTTCTATTGATGAAATCGACATATTGAATAGACTAAATATATTCCTCAGAATGTTGCCAACAAGTATAGATTCTTGCTGCCTTAATAGAAGACTTAAGCACCCTTCAAAGCCTTATATCATACTTAGTTAACAACATTTTGTGATTACAAAACATACACTTAAAAAACGTAAGGGATTCAAAGAATGTAATTATTATATTTGAGAAAAGTTAATAACTTTCCATGCAATGAATCGATTATCAGCCAATAAAATAATTTCATAGTCATCGGCTTGCTTTTCCTCAATTCTTTTTCATGTGATCCTAGGAATTAAAAAATTAAGAACAATATAAGAAAGGAATGGTTTCTAAACTGAACACTAACGACTTGTAGTAAAAAAATATATTCCATATTCCTCATCATTTAACTTTTAAATTATAGTATAAAAAATTAATTAAATTTTAAAAGAAAACATTGTAATATAATAATGTTTTATTCATAATATTCAATTGAAAAACTTCTGAGATTCGACCTTTCTTCAGGAGAACTTGCATTAAATACTTTCAGAATTCCACAGTTATTCTATTCAAAAACCCTTCG